TTTACTTCAGCTGTCACTAACGCAACCTAATCCTGCTAACTGCGGCCACTTTGGTGTGGGGCCTGAAGGGGTGAAGGGAGCATGTGAACTGATCCTGCGCCAGTGGGGCAAAAGCTTAGAGTTCTGCTCCAAAATAGTTAAGGATGCAGTGACCGATTCAATGAATGTTTTGTATGTGTAGACAAGATGTTCAATCTGTCTGATAGAGAGATGAGTTATAAAGGGGTATTCAGTTGTAAACAAGAGGAATTAATATGGTTTGCTTAAAATAGATTTTCAGTCAAGGCCTTGGCAGGAATTAATTTTCAACATTAATAGGGTGATATGTTGCGCTTTTCATTTTGATTTCTCCCAGCATTTTCCTTTATGGTCCATCATTAGATATTGATCAGTTGAAGCTCATTTTGAGACTCGTTGGAACCCCAGGGCCTGAGCTTTTGAAGAAAATCTCCTCAGAGTCTGTGAGTTTACACTTTGATTGTGATATCTGCCCTTTCAGAAGTCCCAAGTTTGTCTGTTGTTCTCTTGTAGTCTCTCTGTAGTATGTGTTGGGATTTATTTTCTGTTATTTTAATTCTTTTGCAATTTTTTGCTCTTGGATGGCTTTGAGTTCTTATGCTATGTGTTTCTGTTCTTTATTCCTCTTACCTCTGCCCATGGTATGATTTTGTCCTTTCATATTCCCATTTTACTGCTTTGTGACTTTTCTTTCAGTTTGTGGATTGTATGATCAGATATTACTGGGGAAATATTTTTCACAGCTAAGAGCTTGAGGCTTATCTCTATTATTACTTCTCCAGATTATGTACCCAGGGATCTCTCTAAATAGGAGCAAGTGTGTTATCCTGTAAACACACACAGTCCCTTCTGTGCTGTGATTAAGTCCTGAAACACTGCTGCCACTATCTTTGTTTTTGTAGCATAAAATGCCTTTTAGATGCCTGTATCTAGCAGCTGTTTCCAGGGCACACAGCATAGTCTGCTGAGCATATAACTACTTGTGCTATGTAGGATGTTGCTATATGGGGCCCTTTTTATCAAGGTAATAGCAAAAAACAGCCATTTGCTATATTGTACTAATCTTGAATTGTGAACTTCTGCAAAGACAGTGTTAAAAATGGCCTTTAATTTTACCTGTTTGTGAAGGTGAAGTGCATAAACGGTAGAGCAAGGGGTGCCGTAGCAGTTGGGAGTAGCAGGTTAATGCACAGTGAGCAGTGAGCTGGCACAGGGGTCACTGGCAGTGCTTCAGCAAGTCACTGCTGTTTGTGATGCACAGCAGAGGATCAGAGCAGTGGAGAGTGGGGATAAGATTTAATGCTGCAGCTTATGTTCCTGTTCTTGTAACAGTGACTGTAAATACAAAATGTGAGATTAGCCTTGGATTACACGTGAAGAAGGTAGATGTACAGTGCAAATTTGAATAAATTGGTCAACTTGCTGAATATCCCACCAATTTAAAAAGCCCTGGGATGTTCTGCCTTTGGAGAGATTAGAACTGAATAATGCAGGTTGCTTTGGTTGCTCTGTGAACTGACCTTAAGACCAGTCTGGTGTTTGAAGTACAGGGGACTAGCAAGAGACATAAACTGAAAGGTTGACTAAATTAAGCATAAGATTAGTTTGCATATGTAAGTTGAAGTGGGTCTTTTATTATATTTATTGTGCAATAATAGTTAAAACTTGCTCTTACCGAGGTCTGAAACAAGAGTCTGTTAAAAAAACCCAGTAAAATACTGTTTCTACAATTTTTTTCCGTCATATGGGGAATGCAAAACTATTACGTGTTTGAGGGCCTTTAGTGTGTCACTATAACAAATTGTTTTTCTGCTGCATTACTTTACTTGCTCTCACTTTCCCTGTTCACTGACATCAGTCTTATGCAAAGCTAGTGTTTTGCTAATTTTGCACTTACTGCTTTCTTTCACCTCGCCCACATATCAAAGTGCATTCAAAGCTGTTCAGAAGGTGTCAGTTGTGAGCCAGTTTCACTTTGCACCACAAAAAACTAAAGTACTTTCCATGCAGGGAGGAGGTAAAAAAAAGCTGGTAACCAGCAGAGGATACAGGTTTTGTTTCTGTTTTAATTTTTGTTCATTTTCCTGAAGCTGTATATAGCTTCAGTGGCCTAGGAAGAATTTTGAGGTGTAGCTTCAGCTGAAGGAAACATCTACTCTGATGGCTTAAAACTTTTGGGAAATGTGAATGCAACCATGTTGGAGTGTAATAGTGCTTTTATTGAACAGAAATACTTCCTGTACTGGCAGTTACCAACTGATCAGTGATCCTCTATTGTTTCAAGTGTTCACTAGGGTAATTGCTTAACTTCTCACAGGTAGTTGAAAAAATTAGTGGGCCCTGCCTTATATGGCTTTTGCCTTGTGGTTTGCAGAAGAGATGCTTTGTATGCAACTGTTTTGTGTTTAAAATGGTTTTTGCACTGTTTTTAACAAAGCCCTTGACTAGGCACTTAAGATATTAACCAGCTTCAGCAGATCATGCGTCTGACTGGAACACCCCCTGCATATCTCATTAACAGGATGCCCAGCCATGAGGTGAGATCTGAGCAGATGAAGGGGGTTTGCAGGGCAGGTCTTCACTTAGTGTTCACCTCTTCTATAAATTCTATGCTTGCATGTGGCATGGGGTGGGCAATTAACTACCTGCTCTTCAGCAAGATTTTTGTACTAAATAAAGTCTCGAGATTTGGACACTGCGTGCCCAACCACAGATTTCTGAGACTCGAGAGAGTGTGGATGTGAGTTGGTTTTGTATTGTGTGCCGTGTTGTGCAGCTTCTCAATGAACAGCACGCTGCACACAGCTTTACTAGGACTCCAGGGAGTCAGCTCTTGCTGTACCTCTTTGCTTTTCAGTCTTGCATGAACCACAAGTAATGTCAGTTCTTCCTCTACTGTCTTGAGTGCCTGCTAGTTGGGACAGGATAATGCTGATGCACTTAGTACTTGTCAGAGTGAGTAAAGAGAAGGCAAAGCAAGGAAACAGACTATAATAACCAGTGCTTTAGGATAGTTGAAAAGTACTTTGTCTTGGTGGCTGGATTGTATTATACTTCAACAGAGCATTTGTTTCCACAGGCAAGAAACTACATTCAGTCTTTGTCTTACATGCCGAAAATGAACTTTGAAAATGTGTTTATTGGTGCCAATCCCCTGGGTAAGACTTGTTTTATTAAATGCTGTGTTCTTCCTGAAATTGAATGTCCTGGGACACAAAGACATTCCCAAAGTTTTGTTCTGACTAGTACAGAACAGGGCTATGTACTGTTTTCAAGTTTACAAAGTATGTGTGGGCCAAGGGTGTAAAAGGAAGAAATCGTGAGTGATGGGTGGGTCCTGAGAAACTACAGATTCCTCATATACATTGGGCTTTTACAAGCTTACATTTCAGAGTGCACTGTCACACATCTCACTGTGTAATCCTTTCTGTTTTGGTGCTCTTGCAGCTGTGGACTTGCTAGAGAAAATGCTGGTGCTGGACACGGACAAACGCATCACTGCAGCAGAAGCACTGGCCCACGCCTACTTTGCTCAGTATCATGATCCAGACGATGAACCAGTGGCAGACCCCTATGACCAGTCTTTTGAAAGCAGAGAACTTGAGATTGAAGAATGGAAAAGTAAGTTTGGGGGAGGGGAGAGAGAGCCAGCTAGCTTCTCTTGTGGTCATAGAATCATAGAATATCCTGAGTTGGAAGGGACCCACAAGGATCATGGAGTCCTGGCACAGGGGTCCTGTGCAACCCAAACAATCCCACCATGTCCCTGAGAGTGTTGTCCAAATGCTCCTTGAACTCTGACAGCCTTGGGACCATGACCTCTGCCCTCCTGCATGGGGAGTCTCTTCCAAGTGCCCAACCACTCTCTGGGTGAAGAATCTCTTCCTAATACCCAGCCTAACCCTCTGCTGACACAGCTCCAGCCATCCCTTGGGTCCTGTCACTGGTCCCAGAGAGCAGAGCTCAGCACCTGCCACTCCACTGCCCCTCGGGAGGAAGCTGCAGACCCCAGTGTGTCTCCCCTCAGTCTTCTCCATCCTGTGAGCTGGGTCCATCCCATGAGCTGCGGTTCAACTAAACCCTGGTAATTAGAGGCACAAAAGAAAGTGATAAAAATATGGGCATCCTGTTGATCCTGAGGTCCTTATACTGGCTGAATCTACCGTATGCTATGCATATATTTAGGATAGTCCCTGGTAACTGGTTATTACTAGGAGCATTCAAACATGTAAGCAACGTAGTTGTTCATGTCTTTATGTTTTGTAACTTATTCACATCTCAGTGCTCTTTCATTGTGTATGTTAGTCTCTGAGAGTAGTGTAACCATTCTTCTCTTTTTTGTCTTAATTAAAATATGTTTTTAGAACCTTTAAGGTTGTTGTAGGTTTTCTTGCATGAAGAGATGTCTTTAGTACTGCTGTCATAGTACTGCTGCTAAGTTTCTGTCACACTTTTCCCACCAGGCCTGACTTACGATGAAGTAATCAGCTTTGTGCCACCACCGCTTGACCAAGAGGAGATGGAGTCCTGAGAAACTGCTCTCTTCTGTCTGTCCCACTTCACTGTGAAGGGAAGGCCTTTTCGTAGGGACTCTCCAATTATCGTTCAAGTGCCTCATCACAACAATATTCTCCTTGGTGGAAGGGTTTTGTGTGTGTTGAACTGGGGAGGGAGGGGGGAGGGAAGAAAGCTGAGTCCATGTAAACATGCTGCATGCTCTCTTGTATTTTGTGTACAGCCTGGGGCAAGCCTCTGGAGACCTGTTCTGACTGCACTTAGTTCTTCCAGAGTAACAGTGCACCACCATTTTGCACTGCTGGGGCAAGATGGGGAAGTTGACATTTAAAGGTTTGGTTACAGTCATTGCCATTTATCAATTCTCCTACAACTAAGTAACCTCAAAATAATGAAAGTTGGTTTATAGGCTTAGAGAGTCCTCTGTTTTCTTCAGGACTGAAGGTGGGGTTAAGGAACATCCTTGTTCAGTACCAGGTGTCTGATTTATATCCAGATCTTCCTGGTACAGCAGAATGTAGAGGCCTTCCAACGCCTGATCCTTGGAACATGAAAAGATGTTGTTTTGAAACTGTAAATATGTTTGTGCCTTAAATGAATGGGAAGAGAGAGGAAAGGAAATCTCTGACCCACTGTTTTTGAGGGTGAAGGCTCCCACATAGCCAGGCATGAGCTCAATGTAATCAGGAAATAACTTTCTGAGGCAACAGCCTCAACCCCTGGATTGGGTATTCCTGTGTTTTTCCCTTTTCTCCTCCTCTTGTTCTGAGGCTTCCTAGCATTAGCTCCTAAGAGACAGAGGTTGGAGAAGATTCTTGCTAGCCACACATTTGTGTATTCTGTTTCTTAGAAGGTGATGTGTTTTGCATGTTGTAGCTGAATGTGCATGTAGAGCTGCTTGATTTTTGTCCTTATTTTTTGGGGATGGCACTGGGGCAGTTAAATCATCAGTGAAATGTTTACTGAGTACCTCAGCTGGTGCCGTGAAATCACAGCACCCTTCCTCCTTTGCTGCAGCTCATTGGGAAATACCTGCCATTCAACAAGGAAAGGAGATAATATATGGCATATAGAAACGTGCCCCTTTTTCCTTGTTCTGACCTTCTGTTTGCAGAGAAGGAGAGCTTGGGCTGGAGAGTTTTTTGTGAGATCAAGTGTAAAAAAATGTTCTTTAAAGAAACATGGTATCTTGTGCCAGAACTTAACTTATTTCCTGAAAAGAATTTTTTAGAAGTATTGGAATCCAAAGCAAAGAAATAAGCATGCATAAACACACAATCACCCTTTCACTGTCTATATCTATAAATATAAATATTTATATATATATAAAACTAACATTAACCAGAAGGTTTTTTTTACCCTCTCAGATAAGAGCTTCTTGGCTGCTTTTTAGCAGTTTGATCTCTGCCCAAGGAAACGTGAGAAGAGAGTATGTTTGAATATAAACAGGGTTCAAATATTTTGTATTTTACAGGACTCTGCAGGAGTAAAATACCCAGTTAGGGACTGGCAGGAGGGAGGTTTCTCAGCACGTTCGTGTGCTAGAACTGTAGCTGGGGAGTTCAGGAGCCAAATCTTAGGGCTTCTGGTGGAGACATTTTTAGACATTAATTTGTTGCAGGCATCTTGTGTGGGCAACTCATCACATCACTATGTATGTGAAGAGAAAGGCTTTTGAAGTATTTTGTATTCTTGTTACCTATGGGGCAGAGAGGAACCATTTGTAGTGTTTTTACCCTGTTTGAAGAGGCAGCATAAAGGGATGGGACATGAATGACAAAGCCATTGATTCTTTCTAGGCTACTTCCCAGTGATCTCTTCAGGCCAAATATTTAATAAAGGTCTGAGCTGAGATGAAGAGAGTAGTTATATCTAGGATAAAACTCTCCACAGCCTAAAAAAATCAAGACAGAAAACCTTCCTTCTCTGCTGGACCAGCAGTCTGGGTATTCAGATGAAAATGTCGATATACTATGTAAACCTACAGCAAGATTATTTTTATCAGCTGTTTTATGTGTAGATGCTATAGTGTGAGTTCATGCGGAAATATTGCTAAAAATTTTTAAAAATATAGATGTTGTGCGTGCGTGTGTGTGTGTGTGTGTGTCTGTGCGCGTGTGTGAACGGCAGTGTTTCATTCGGAGTCTGTCCCTAAGGGAGCCCATGTGGAATGCACTCCTGCTGTCAGTGCAATGCTGGTCAGCTGCCTGCAGACTGAGCAGGATGCTGCACTTGAAAGAAAAGATCTGCTATTTTGTTTCTACCCATGAATTTTGCTGTAATTGGTTATGCCAGATAAGATGTCACAATACCACTGGTTAAAAATAAAATTTATTTTTCAGATTTACTGCACTGATGGTACTTGCAAACCTCTTACACTAAAGTGTTTGTTTTAGCATGGTGTGTGCTGTAAGAGATCCTGTGTGTGATGGCTGGGGCGGGAGTCGAGGCTGTGTCTTGGTGGCTGACTCTGCTGACATGGAGCTTCTTGTCTTTATTTGTCCCAAGTGAATTCTTTGCTTAGCTTAGAGTCTGACTGTGAGTATGGAATGCAGAAAAAAAGCCCCACCTTTTATTTTCTGTTTAGCGCAGGGAAGCAATAATTCAGCACAAATAGACAAGCATTCTGCTGCTTACCTGGCCCTGGGACCCTTCCCCAGTAGGACTGGTTTGTGCTTGTTTGCTATTTAAAAGTGATTTTTTTTTTTTCCCTCTTCAGTTGCCATCTAGTTGGTGGTGGAAAGATCTGTACCATAGCGGAGCTTTTCCAACTTCTATTGTGTATCAGAGCTACTTACTCAGAAGAACTCAGATTGAGCAAAGCTGTGTTCTTCACACTGGCACAACCCTCAGTCACTGAAGTTCCTAGGCCATGATGAACCAGGGGGGTTGTGTTGATCCCAGTCAGGCAGCTGATCCCCACAATGTGTGCGCAGAGCTGTGCAGCAGCTGATTTGAGGAAGTACAAAAAACAGTGAGGGGGTGTTCTCTCAGCTCCATGAGCCTTCTTGTTGGCTTTTACCATCTGTTGGCCTAGGTGCAAACAGAGGAGAGGGAGCAAAAAGCCTAAACAGGACCAGTCATTTGTTGTTTTCTGGGAAAAAAATTCAGAACGCCCAAGATGTACAATTCCAGAATGTGCTTGGTTACAATATATCCTGGTTAGCAAAAAAAACCCCAAAAACCCACTAAAAATAAGTGAGAATTTAATGGGGGGGGGGGGAAATTACACCTATAAAATCAAATTACTCTCATGAAGCTTAACAGTCAGTGTGCAGCCCTTGCAAATTGTTGTCCAACTATGCTCTAGTCAATGGTAGGGCCATCACAGGTGAGAACAACATACTGGGAGTCTGGGTAGGTCCATGATGAAATGTCTATTACTAGAAGGGAAGCAATGGTAAAAATTGTAACTTATCATCACCTCTAGCTGCACTGTCAAGGTGCCTGGAGAAGAATGTATGGGTCATCCCATCACTTCTTTTGGTGGATGTGGCAGAGTTAGGTTTGCGATTAGATTTGACCTTCAAGATTATCTTTTCCAACCAAAAGGTTTCTATGAATCTAAAATTTGCTGTTTGATTTGGTCACTTGAATTAACTCATATTTTTACAGCCCAGGCATGCTGCAGCTATTTAGGACTCCTTAATTGCGTGCTGATTACCTTCATGTGCACAAGTAGTTGAGCAAGAGTTGCATTCATCAAATAACCAAGGAGTTACATGTTTGCTTATGGACCAGGAGTTTTTGCTGTGACACTTCTTGCTCACAGGTGTATTTATAGAACCCAGCCAAGCAGATGGTTCATTTCCTGACTGTGCTGTTGCTACAGCCAGGGCTGATTTACACAGATATGCATAAGCAGGGTTAAAATACTACCATAATGCCTTGTCCCTAGCTTGTATTTTACAAAGCAGCAGGCTGTGCCTGTGGCTGTAGCATGATTACTTGAAGAACATAAGGGTCAATGCTGATGGGTATTGCAGTGGTTGCCTGTAAGCAGGAACAGTGAATCTTTCCCAACCTCCAGTAGTGCTTTTTGCGTATTTTTCATTTGCCAGGTAGCTTGGCTCTAATTTTGCTGCACAGATATTCTTGGAGCAGGGACACCTTTGCAGATTACCTGTATGGAAGGAGCAGAGGCTCTAGGCAGGGTGGAGGGCTGGTGAGGTAGAACACTGTGTAAGCAGCTAGGCTGGCTTGGTAAGGCACAGCTTAGTCACTTCCTTTGGGAAGCATGTAGGATGCACCTACCTCCTGCGTGGGAGCCCTGCCTGAGCCTCCTAATGTTGGAGCAAAATGTTGAGGTGCCATCTGCTTACTAGGAATGGACCTTCTTGCAGGCTGGGTTTGCTGGTCTGGCCTGGTCATGGTAGGCATAGCAGTGAACCTGGGCTCTGTGCTGTCCGTGAAGACCCCAAGAAAGGGTTAGACCTGCTGTGGGAGATGAAAGCAGATGCAGCAAACAGTTCTCAGGATGTTCCCATCTCACAGATGCTCCTGAACCTCCTCCCAGTAGTCACTTGGATATAGGTGGAGAACCTCAGCGTACTTTCAGCATGTCCCTGCGCTGCTGGGAAGCCAGACTTTGGAGAACATTGCCATTGCCTCCTTGCTCTTTTATGGACGTAACACTGTGTGTTCTTTGTCATGAGGCTGGAACTGTCCTTCATCAGCTTTAAAGAAGAATGTCCCTGCTTGTCTGACGAGGTGCTGTGGCTTGTCCCTCAGATTCCCCAGCTTGACAAGTCCTTACTCATCCACTTGTTTGGAGGACGGATTTCATGAGACCCCCTCCAAGCTGCATGAGGATATTTCTTGGCTTGTGAAGGCAGGAGAGTAAGAGCTCCAGGTGACAGGGCTCCCGGGGGTGTGCCTGAGCAGGGCTGGGTGCTCCACTCCTATAGCAGAGCCCAGAGGCACCTGTACAAGACTGAGGCGTGTCGGAAAACCTGATGCCTCACCTCTGCCAATGTGGAGGCGGAGGGAGGAGGGCCAAAAGACATGTCCCTTCACGCTCGCAACAGCTGAAAACAGAGAAGGAAACTCGCTGGAGCCTTTTTTACCAGCGCAGGAGGCCTCACAGTCGCGCTCTCACCCCAGAGACCCTCCCGTACTCCAGTACTCTGGGGGGGTGGCACTCCCACACCCGTCGGGCGATGAACATCGCAAGGAGAAGAGGCTTTTACAGACAGGAGGTGAACAACACCCTCTGGGAGCTGCCCAGGAGATACACGTCCCTCCACCCGCTGGGGTCTGGAGCCTACGGCTCGGTGTGGTGAGTGGGATCCTGCTTGCACTGCCAGGAGCAGTATATGGGGCGAGGTAGGGGTGTTCCCTGCCAGGGGGAAAACAAGGAGGTGCTTGTCAACACCTCTCCATTAAGAAAGGACATTTGCATGTGTGATGGAGGTGGTTTGTCTCCTGCTCCGGTGCAGGCAGCGGGCTGGAAACTTGGTCACTTGAAGAAAATGTTTCCTCCTGTGGTCACCCTGGGTGGGCAGAGAGGGGACTGCGTAGGCACAGCAGCAAGGAGTGCCGAGCAGCTTGGGGCGTCACCTCAGCATTGGGGTCAGGCAGCTTTTGAGCTGCTTTGGTCTTGAGCTTGCATGAAGATTATCTGGCAGCAACCGTACCAGGGAAGGGAATACTTAGGTGTCTGAAAGAAATTTGTAGATGGTAACAGAGGTGGATACTGGAACAAAGTATCCTTGCTGCTTAGTCCAAGATAGCAATGCTGGTCTGCCTGGACAATACCACCCCCACTCTGATACTGTTTCCAGCTTGAAATCATAAAGTAGATAGATGTTACTGTAAACCAGGATCAGTAACATACTGGGACTTCCTTCATGGCCGATAATAATCCCTAACCTATGAGAGAGCAGCATGAGCTGCGGTTAATTATTCACCTGGGTAAAGGAGCCTGTAGCGAGAGCAAGCAGAAGTCAGACCTTGCTTGGTTTACACTGACAAACTGAAGGAGACGGGCGATTCTTTGAAAGGTAGGTTAAATATGAAGCAGTCTGTGATAGTATCTGAACAGAGCCCTTGTTTCATAACATGCTGAGCTAAAAATAAAAAAGAAAGGTGTATCCCTTTTCATAGGTGTTGGGCAAAGTCTATCCTGCTGCTGTCACAGCACTAATCCTGAAACCCTGGTTTCCAGCTTCTGTCCTTGTCCCTTGTAGAGAGGTGCCCCTTTTGCTGTCCAGGTGCCTTTACACTTCTGAGATGCTTAAGTTAGGCCTGCAAAATCAGGCAAGACTAGACTATTTTTTTATATTTGTACAGTTTTCTCAGGTTTTTACCATTGAGGAAAGCAGGAAGGAAAACAAAGATAGGACAAAAAAAGGAAGAGAGAAATCCTTTCAAAATTTCCTTCCCCTCCCAAAAAACCCCAACACCAGTAAGACAGATCTTTACTGTTCCCTGTGAAAGTCTCGGCTGCTCTGGAGCTCTCAAGGAGGGAGGGAGGAAAGGGTGTTGAAACAGTCTGGAGGTCCATGGTGGTGGTAGTATCGAATGGACAGTGCTCAGCAGGGAGGGCTTGGTCCCGATTTTTGTACAAAACAGAGGTGGAAGCATGTGGAGTTAGGATTTGCTGTCCTCTGCTGGGAATTGCTGGGAGACTTTCCTATTGCAGTGTTATTCAGCAGCTGGCTTTTACACCTTCTTGAGCAGCTGAGAAAGTAACTCAGGAGAAACAGCAAAGTCTTGTTTGTTCCCTTATTAATTTGCCAAAATCTGTAGTGATTTGGCTTCCAGCTGAATGTAATTGGGAAAGAAGAGTCTTCTGACCCCTTCAACACTGGTCTTGTTGATCTCTGCCAGCTGAGGCAAGGACACAGCTCTGCCTGCCCCATGTCATCCCAAACTGTATCTGTTCATTAAATCTGTGCTGGGAAGAACATGGTGGGCTCTCTCAGCTGCGTCAACTGAATTAGCTCTAGCTGTGCTTATGGCAAGGGTGTGACTACTGCTGTGCAGGCTGAAGCTCCATCACCCTGCTCTCCTGTGTTGGGACATGGGGTTAGATGCTCTGTATGTCAGCAGCTGGGAAGGCAGGTAAGAACTTGCACCTTCAGATTAGGAAATCTGCCTTGAATTCTGCAGAAGTTGATTGACTATTTAGTCCGAGTGCCTTCCTCTTATTTCCCCCGCTCCTCAGAAAACTTTACACAGTGCTATCCCCTCTGCTGACATCTGCTGAAGTCCTGAAACTGAGACAACTCTTCACTCAGAGGCCTCCTATGATATCCTATAGCATCTTCAGTGCTGAAGCTGCCTTGTGTAACTGTTCCTGCACTTCCTTTGCTTTTACCGACTGAATGGGGAAATGTGTTTGTGCAAGGCTGGAGGATGCAGCTAAAAGCCATGGGATTGAATATGATGATTTATAGCCCTTCTGTTTCCATGGGAGATGGGATAGGGATTTAAGAAGCTGTGGGAACTGCTCTGGAAATCTACAGCGTGATTTTTTCATGTTTGCCTCTTGGGAGGGGTCAAGGAGGGGCTGCGGCACCACTGAGGCTCCATTCAGAATCCCAAATTACAGCTGAAGACTTCTGAGGACCTCCCTTCCCACTCGGAACCTGAGGCCTCCTTTGCAGTCTGAGCAAAAAGCCTTTAGAAGAAGAGAAACTGTCACAGGATTGCCAGTGACATAAACAGCAAACGTGACCGGAGGGAATAACACATCATGTCTGTGGTGATGGCTGTTGTACCATGTTTTACCTTTATAGAAGACTCTCATTTTCAGCCAGACCTGCTTTTACACAGAAGCATATGTGTAGCATCAAAGATCCTGAATACAGCAGAATTAATTCCAGCAGCCTGTATTTTTAATGTGTGACATCCACTGTCTCCAGGATACAGTAAAGGCACTGCCCTGCCTTAAAAGATAAGAGCCTCCAGGCAGATAGCAAAGCAAAAGTTGCTTTATTCCCTTACCTCCTTGCATTAGGGAAGAGGGCAGAGTTAGAACTAATTCTGAATTTCAGCCATTTGTGTTTCCCTCTTCTCACAGCTCTGTTACCTCCAGCTTCTTTCTACAGGTTATAGAGAATAAAGATGAGCCACCAATACTTGGCTAGGAATCCCACCTAGTCATCCAAAGAGCACAGGCTGCGGTCTGCTGCCCAAAGCCACGCAGGGTAGCATCTCCTGTGCAGAACTCCACTGGGTTTCTCAAAGGGCCTTTCTTTGCTGTTCTTCTGTGACCACAAGAATTAACTCTTCTCTAGGAGATGACTTTTGGGATTACAAAATTTGTTAGAACATGCTGCCAATGTCAGAATTGTTTTTTATTTGTCTGCTGCAGTTCAGCCATAGACAAGAAGACAGGGGAGAAAGTGGCTATCAAGAAGCTCTGCCGCCCATTCCAGTCAGAGATCTTTGCCAAGAGAGCATACAGAGAGCTGATGCTGTTGAAGCACATGCAACATGAGAACGTAAGTACTCATTTCTCTCTCTTCCTGCTGATACGAGGGATATTTTCTTGCCACCTGGGAGCAAGTTCTTTCAGGTGGCACCATGTTTATTTTTATATATATATAGAGAGAGATGGATTATTTTAATATAGGGAGAGATACTGACATTTGGCATGTGCAGGCAGTTTTGGGGTTCAGGTGCTGCCTCTGCTGTGCCCAGTTGTCACCAGTCTGAAGCAGATGTGTAATGGGTGCTACCATGTATTAGTAAAAGAAAAACATTTGTGCAGCATCAGTGAGGAGTCCGTGGATTCTTCAGATGGAGTTCTGTGTTCACGCAGATGCATGTGCCAGTGGAGAGCTACTACCTGAGTCCCATGTGCACGTAAATGCTTTCCAGGTTTAAATGTGGACTTCTCTCCTCCATCAGGTCATTGGGCTGCTTGATGTCTTTACCTCCACTGCCTCCTACCAGGGGTTCCAGGACTTGTAAGTTTGGAGTTTTTTGCTCTATCTGGACTCAGCCATTGCCCAAGACACCCGTGTCTTAGCAGCAGGATAACAGATTGGGTTGAGGTGCAAGGGGCCCAGACTAAAAGCCAGACATCCCCAAATAACACAGAGAATCAAAAGCACATGTCAGTTCCCATGGCTAACACACCCAGAATACATAAATAGATCACATGCCATACTCACAGCTGGGAGACCACAGAATGTACAGACCAAGCTATGTAACGAGGATGTGTTACGTTCCATGGCTATCACATGTAGTGTGATCCATGCTGTGTGACTGCTGAGCTAAGAGGCTGCACTCAGAATGGGAGAAGTATTGTTTGTTCATCAGGCCCCAGGGCAATTAAACTGAGAATTTTAAAGATCTGGCTTCCTTTTCATCTTGATTCTGGCTTTTCTTTTTTTTTTCCCCTCAGTGTTTATGGTCAGGATGGACAAGTCATTTTCCCTTCCTCATTACTAGGAATGAGCAGCATGTGTCTGGATTTGGGGGTTTGGCTGATGGCTGGGTATTTAGCAGCCTGCAGGAAAAGCATTTGAAGGTTCTCAGAGCAGTTCCTGCAAGGAAGACCGTCAACTAATTAGCAGTCTTGGCAGGCAGATACTGAAGAAAGCTAGATGTTGTCTTTTGAGGCAGGGCAGGAGAACATTACAAAGATGAAATTGGGAGCCAACACTGTTTTTGCTGTGTAAGATGTTTCAGCTTCCGGGTGGTGAAAGGCTGTCCGGAACTGAACATCACTTGAGGTCTAAAGTAAACTAATTCAGGATTGTAGAGATCCTTGTTCTTACCGGATGTCAGATACCTGATTTAAGAGGAGGAAAAAGAGCAATTTTCTGAGCAGGTTGAAATCCCAGCTTCACTGCAGGCTGTGCTAGTTAGCCCAGGACACTGTCACAGCAACTCATTTTAGTTACAGTAAGTTAACGCAGCCATAAAAAACCCCAAGGCTAGCCTGGTCCCCTGCGTTTTTCTTCTAGACTCAGGGCTTTGTCTTACTACCTTTTAGCTACCTGGTGATGCCATACATGCGGACAGATTTACAAAAGATCATGGGACATGAATTCAGTGACGAAAAGATCCAGTACCTGGTCTACCAAATGCTGAAAGGGTTGAAGGTAAGTGGGTCTGGAGGAGTTTAGTGACTCCCTCTGTCTCCTCTGTATGGGAGGGTTGATCCTAACTAAACTCCCTTCCAACACTGTATAGGAAGATGTGGGGGTGTTATGGCATCACCTAAGAACAGATATTGGCTGTTGAACTGCTCTTGTTCCAGCACACTGCAGGTGACTGCTTGTTTACGTCAGCTGTGTATCAAAGCAATCAGCAGCCATAGACCTTGCGATTGTTTTTCCATGGCAGCAATTGCATTGCTCTTTGACCTGCCAAAACCCTTAGCAAAACTCTACACTGAGAGTAAGAGATTGGCAGCAACAGGAGCTTCTGCTGAAGGAGCTTCTTCATAACAGAGGCTCTCAGGGGAGAAGACAGAGGGACTGATTTCCAATTTAGTAGAATAAGAAAGAAATATGCTTCTGTAACTGGCTTTGAGAAAGCAGAAAGCAATTACAGAAAACCCCAGGATGTAGAGACAGTGTCTTAATGCTGCCCTCTAACATCCTTCACCTGGAATCAGAGCAGTGGTTTACAGGCATGAGTTCACCTTAATAACCAGTTCACTGCTATCTTGAGTTTAAATAAAGGGGGGAAGAACATGCAGAAGGTTTAATTGGTGTGATTCAAGCCATGCAGTCAGTTTTTGCAATTTTATGTTTTTATGCTGAGATTATTTTTTTGAATACCCAAAATAACTAAGTTTTGATGTTGTCTGCTGTAACCCTGATGTCTTTGATGGTTTGAAGCTATTGTTGTACTTGCTCTAAGGAACTATTGCTTCATCCTTCCTCTTCTGTTCTATGCATCTTCTTTAGACTGGCAATAGCATTGCAAATACTATCAGCAATTCAGGGGAGAGATTCCTTTTCAAACTGCTGCCCTGCAGTAGCAGGATGCAGAGTTGTGTTCGCAGCAAGTTCTGATTTGTAGCTCTCATTTCTCCGCTGGAGAACAGAAAGTCTTGTCTGCTGGTGATCACATTGTGGCTCCTCTTTTTATTGCAGTATATTCATTCAGCTGGCATCATACACAGGGTAAGTTCATGTTTGCTCTTACTCTGATTTTTGTCTGTTTGAGAAACACAGCATAGTCATAAAGTTATTAAATTCTTAGACATCATTTTACTAATAGCATTGTCTGCTCTGGAGTTTCTTTTCTGTCCTACACCCTATATATGTTTGAATTTGCTCATTTGTATAGCATTTTGAGGAAATGCTGTATTTTCTGGTGAGCTGAGAAGCATTTTATGATGCTTCTTGAATTAAAACTGTTTCAGAAAAAATAAAACAGCAATCTAAAGCTGTACAGTATAGCAGGCATGGTATCTTTGCTGAATTGGTACTTGACTTGGGATGTTACAAGACCCCATCAAAGGCAAGCAGAGATTCAGCTGAGCCTTGTGTTGATGTGTTGCGACTCGAAGCATCCGTTTTTTTCTGCTCTTGTCTGTTGTAGGACCTGAAACCAAGTAACCTGGCTGTGAACGAAGACTGTCAGCTAAAGGTAGGTGGAAAAGCACCACTTTGGAAGCATGTAGCATATCAGATCATGGAGGAACTGCTCTGCCAGCAAGAACTTGGTACTGTCACGTTTCCTCTTGCCTTCTCAATTCAAGGTGTTTTGTTATTTGGCAACTGCAGGCAGTGGGAAATACCTGCTGATGTAACTTGCTGAATCAAGGCGCAAAACTTCAAATAACATCCTGTCACTGTAATTCCTGCGGCATGGCAGTTTGTAATGACTTCCTAGATAAATTCAATACTGCTGAGCAACGCTTGCATTAGGTGAACGATCCCTGAAGGGTAACTGGATTCAACTACAGTTGCCTTTTGGTTCCCATTGACATTATGGTTGTGATTCCAGACAAAGTTATTTTTAGTATTGCTCTGAAAGGTTTGCTTGCAGTTTGCTGGTGTGGTGCTCTAGCATGTATTTTCTGTAATGTATGTTACAGGGAGTGGCTTCATTGCCTGTAATGGTTGGGTCAAGCTTGTTCATCTTTAGTATTGAGGGAGAGGCCATCCTCTGTCAGCTGCAAGGTGTTCTTATAGGAAAGGGTGAGTCGTGGTGGCCTGGGAGCATGCCTTCACCACTAGGTCATAGACCAACTCAAATAAAGCACAGACTTGAAACTTAAGCTTCAAGAAAGAAAGTGACCTTCCAGGTAGCACAGAGCCCTGATCCTTTCAGCAGAGTCTTCTCACCACAACTGGTTTTGCAACTGACTTGCAGTTTACAGTGGAATCAAGACAAACCTGTTAAGTCTTTGAACCATCCTGCGATTGGCTGTGGTGTAGTTGGAGCTTTGTTATTATCTGATTGGATCTGCTTAATTTTCTCTTAGAATTGGAGTCTTACTTGCCCATAGGATTTCTTTTTTCTTTCCTGCCCTTCCTTCTTCGTCTTCCTTTGCAACTGCAGATTTTGGATTTTGGCTTGGCCAGACATGCTGATGCTGAAATGACTGGCTATGTGGTTACACGATGGTACAGAGCCCCAGAAGTCATCCTGAACTGGATGCATTACAACCAGACAGGTGAGCAGCCTTGCCTCTGCAGTGTGACTATCTGATGACGAGCCTGGGGATCCTGCTGGGTCAAACCTCACGTAATCGTCCAGTTGTCTTTCTTCTTTATCATCAGTGTTCCTGGGAGCAGAGAAGATCCCAAAGGTGTTGCGCCACTCCCAAAGCTAGTGCTTGCGGGAAATGATGAAAGCAGAGATTTTAGCAGCATAGAAAGAACAGAGGAGAATGGGAGTGACATTTAAATCAGTCCCTGCTGCAAGCAACAACAAAAGCGACAGCCCCAGCAATCATTGCTGCCTTTTCATTGTCCTTTTTCTTTTCCTTTTTTTTTTTCCCCTCTCTCCCCTCCCCACCCCCCCTTTTTCACTCTGAACAGTGGATATCTGGTCTATTGGCTGTATCATGGCAGAAATGCTGACTGGGAAAACGCTGTTTAAAGGCAAAGACTGTATCCTTTCAAGCTGAACCTTTTCCTTGGGGGGAGTAGTAATTCTTGGTGTGCACTTTTTAATGAATGAGGCTACTGAGAAAAACAGGTGTCAGTCTGGTTTACTGGAAGGTAATCACAGGGACCAGTCTTTTTGGTGAGGAAAGCAGAAGCTAAGAGGGGACCTTAGAAATACACTTCTGTGCTGGCCATGGGTGCCCTACCTTGCGGTTAGAGCTCTACCAGTTCAACCTTGCATGGCCATAGCTCCATCCCCAAACCTTTGCATATTCCCCCAAGACCATGGACATGTGTCCTGGCATAGCTGTGCCAGAAAAATTATCTGTTGATGAAAATGGCATGCCAGGAAAAAAGCCTTGGAGCTCTTTTTGCCAGTCTAATGAACTTGTGTAACTCTGTTGGGTTTGTATCATTACAAACTGAGCTGAGTTGTGGGAGGGTGTCCAGGGCTCACTCCTCAATGGGCAATCTTTAACACAGCTTGCCAGACCTGGATCAACTGACTCAGATCCTGAAAGTAACGGGGCATCCAGGAGAAGACTTCTTGGAGAAGTTGGAGGATAAAGCGGTAAAAAAGTTCACTATGGATTTAGGTCCTGGTGGCAGAGATATGGTGGGGAAGAGGTTAACATGTCTGTGTTTGAGATGGGAGAGGTGCTGCCTCTGCAGCAGCAGTGAGGAATTGCAACAGCAGCCTTTTCCCCTTGGCAAGGAAGACATTTCTCTGCTAGTGGCACATCTGACGACTTGGTGTGGATTGCAGGAACTCCCATGTGAGGTGCCTGATGCCCTAGCAAACCAGCAAGCTTCTCTGTTCTCTAGCTTGGCTCTTAAAACAGAAGTATTTCTGTATCTCAATTGATAAAAATACTTCCTTGTAAACTGCTCACTGAAATGTGACATCTGGGACAATTTGCCGTTCTCTCCATTTGCCTTTGCTCATTAGAGCCATGAGATCTAAAGGCTGTATTTCACATCCCCTCCTACTTGTCCACGTGCAGTAATTGTGCTTTCCTTGCTTTTCAGGCTATGAGTTATATCAAGTCCCTTCCTAAAATCCCCAAGAAAGATTTGTCTGTGCTTTTCCCTAAAGCAAATCCTCAGGGTAAGTCATCTCCAGCATTTCTCACGAGTTTTCACAGTTGGAAAAGAGGCAAGCTGACCACCACAGCTTCAACTCTATTTCTCCTTTTTCTTATAATTCTTATAATTTCTCCCTTGCAGGCTATGCCCCTGCCCCTCCCAGGGCAAATATGTATCAAGTAAAAACCAAAATGATTCCTTATTGCAATAGTGATGTTTTGCTGTTCTTGGCCATTCACTGCTTTTTTTTTTTTTTTTAATTTTAAAATTACACAGTCTGTAACATACAATATTTATGGAAGAGATAAACTTCTGACTTTTGTCTTAACAAACCAGAAGAAAGCAGATGCTGGATATAACAGGATGTCCTGGTTCTGGGTTGCAAATTAAGGATTAAGACAGTTGCATATATCAGTTCCAATTAGTATGAAAGTTAGGATGAATTTTTGCTGACATTAGCTTCCTGAAGTTGTTCTTGTTGTAGCCAAGCGGGTGACAATATGATCAGTAGCTCTTAGATAAACAAACCAGCTCTTCTTTGTTCATTATTAATTCCCAGCCTAACATCTGAGGCACCATGGGCTTTGATAAAGTGCTATGAGACCCCCACAGCCCACTCCAGTATTTTTTTTTCATAGTACAGTGTAGATCCTCTTTGTTGAATACCTGGATCTAGTGATCCTTAACAGACAGACGATGTTAATTTATAATTTTCAGAGTCAAAACTGATCTCTTACAAAGAGCTCTCTTCCCAAGTAGCTTAGAGATGAAAGCAAGCAAAGCTGTTCTAAAAACTGAAAAAAAGAAAGCATTAAAATGTTAAAACCAAGTGGGAATGGGGCTGACAGACTAGATGCTATCTGAGTTTTCTGCCCTCCTGTTTACCACAGAAGTATAGATTTCTATATGGATTACTCATGTTAAGACTACTTTGAGATGCAGGACTCTGAGTGGAAGGAAATTATAAAAACTGAAAAATATCTTGAGGTTACTGGCTTGCTCTTCATCCTTCTGCAGCCCCACCTGTGCAGCCCCAATGCTTATTCAAGACTAATTTATTTCTACACAATTTAACTTCTGTTAGTAAGAGCTCCCTGAGGCTGCTGTTGGGCAGACTTTGCAACTCCACTGACAGGAGCTCCTCACTGCCTTGACCAGGTTGAGGAATCTCTTTCATTTTCAGGTCTGGAGATGCTGTACTGGAAATACCAGTCCCATCAGCTTGCAGGGTTCATGCACACGATTCCTATTCTCCACAGCACCTTACTTAGCTCTGTTCCCATCTTCTCCTACAGCTGTGGACCTGCTTGACAAGATGTTGCAGCTTGATGTGGAAAAGCGCCTTACAGCCACAGAGGCATTGGCTCACCCCTTTTTCGACCAGTTCCGAGATGTCGAGGAGGAGACAGAAGCACAACAGTCCTATGATGATTCTCTGGAACATGAAAAGCTTTCAATAGATGAGTGGAAAAGTAAGAAGTTTATTTTCTTTGAAGTTCCTGTCTAGCATGGGACTTTCCTACCCCTCTCTCTTTCCTGTGCACATGCTGAGTAAGGCTGTGATTGCCTGCTGATGCCTCAATGGCAGTGCACATCTCTTACCTTGCTCTTGCTGTTCTGCATTCAGCAAAGATCCCTCCAGCTCTTCAGGCAGACTTTTTTTGCCTCTCTCCTTTGTCTCTTCCATCTCGTACCTGTCACTGAATACCTCCTTTCTGCACATATAACATTCAAGCTTTCATTTGTGTCCTCTAAAGTCACACATTCATGGTTATTTTGTTATGTTTTTCAAGAGCTTATTTACAAGGAGATCTTGTCCTTCAGTCCCATTGCACGGAAGGATTCCAAGAAGCAAAGTGGGATGTCATTATAGTGACTGATGCAGCTGTGGCTGGGATTCACTTCTCCTCGACGACAGATGGGATTTATTCCACACTGCCTTGCTAGTGGCTATCGTTTGGCCTGTGGGACTTCTCTGTGTGTCAACACAAGGATGGCACTATGCTGTGGGTATTGAACTTTGTTCCACCAAAAGAGAAGCACTCCAGACAGTTTTCAACATAAAAGATAAATATATTCTTGTTGAAACTTTAAGTGGGAGAATTTTAGCTGGTGGGTTTTTTTGTTTGGTTGGGTTTTTTACCACTGTATTTGTCCACTTGAGAGAGAAGGGGGTTCATTCTTTCTCATTAGTCTTTTCAAGCACAGGGTTTAGTACATTAATTATGGATAAGGTAAAGAAAAAGGTAAAACTGACTGGGAAGTGAGTCCCAAGCAAAATGATCAGAAAGAATGACATTCAGCAGAACAAAACTTTATCCAATCTAACTCTGACTGTGTCCTCCTTCCCTGAGCAGTTACACAGCATCCAGCATAGCAAGGCTGCTGGCATAGTGTCAGCTCCAGGCCACCATGGGAATACAGTTGATCATGGGATCAGTCTGTGTTCAGAGCAGCTCCAAACTCATACTATACACATAACTCTGCTCAGGATCTTCCCCTCTGGAGAGCCACTGCCGCTTCCTCTTCCCTTTCCCCTTCTTCTCCCCCCCCACCTTTTTCATTCCCTGGGTTTTGATCAGTGCTGTCTCCTCACTGCTAGTTGCAAGCATAGCCTGGGAATTCAAAGCTGCTTCCCCTACTGATAGACTGGGTATCCCAAGGAGCTGTACAAATTAGTTTGAATATGAGTCTGCAGGAAGTTTTCCAGCCTATGCTGAAACTGGTGTATCTTGCAGGTCCATGGCTTATTGATACAGTCATTAGATAGTTCAGTGCTAGGCAGGTACATCTGCTGGTTGTGGATAACCCGTTTGGACTGCAACACCTTCTTCCCTATGATGATCAGTCAGGTTCAGCCAGTCATTCCAAAGTCCATCTCAAGGGATTTGTGCCTAGAGACAAGTGTCTTCTCTGTATCAGAGCTCAGAGCACATAGTCCCCAGGGCTAGAGAAAAGTATTTGTTGAGAGGGCATGTGAACTCAGTAATACATGCAGTGTTTCTCAAATCTCCCCCTCTTCTGTAGCTGCTGAGTTATTTTGGTTTGGTTCAGCAATGTTGCTTTCAGTACTCTCTAATTTTCTTCAGTAATGTTCAGTTTTGCTGTACACAGACCTCAAGGAAGGGAAAACTGCAACATTACCAGAATTTTCTGATCTCTCTTCACTGGGAACCAGACACAGTGTTGTTGTGTTTCTTGGCAGTCTCTCTATTGCAGCTCATGCCATGCAGCACTTGGGATAACCCTTCAGCGCCTGCTGCTTTTTGATAGGACAGTACTGATGTTATCCTGCTGTAGCTGCACAGATGGTCCATGCTGATGAGACGCAGTTTCTCTTGCCTCATATCTCTCTGGATCACGTATAAGCCCTTTGCCTCACTTGTCTCTTAAGTAGGGACTTCTTGCTAAGTGTGAGATGACCTGCGTTTTCCTTGAATGGCGAAAGGGAGAAGTTCTAGCTGCACGTGTCAAACAGCAGCTGGAATATTGTCCTTTTGAACCTGGCATCTGACTTGGCTGCCATGTGCCCTGCGTAATCTTGAACAGAAGTTGGGGAGAATGTCTCGGCAGCTGCCATTAACATCTTGGAAAGCTGCAGATGTTTAAAGCTACCTCTGCCATGGTAAAATGAGGCTTGGTGGTTTCAGAGGAGGGCCATTGTCCAGGTGAGTGTTTGTGAATGCACGGGGAGATGTTTCAGGGCTGTAGGTGAGGCAGGCTGACCTCCTGACTATATGCAACCCTGGACATAGAGAGGCAGGGAAGACTCTTAAAAGCTCATTCTTGTAGAGGAATTTGAGTAAATCTATGGAGATCTTCAGAGTACAGAGCTTTCTTTCAGAAAGTCATCTGTTAAGGCAAAGAACCCATTCAGACAGAACTCCTAAACCACTGTAAATGGGAATTCAGGGTGTAACTTAATCTTTTTGCCCTTCTCCAAAAGGGAATAGGTAGACCTGAAGAGCTGTCTGGCTCTTTGTAATGACGGCTGAGAGAGAAAACATCTTCATAATGAAGGAATGTACTGAGCAGTCTACTGGTAGTTGAAGAGGAACTGGCATAGTTTTAAAGAATAACCTAAGATGCCCTTTGGGAATTGTCTGTCTGACCAGAGGACAAACATGAAGAGGCACTGGGGACTTCTGATACAAATGGGTGCGAGAAGAACAATTTTGAACACAACCAAGGAGGGTACATAGATTACTGAGAGCAAGCATTATTCTCACTTGTTTCAGGGATAGCACGTACAGTCTCTTTGGTATCAGTCTTTCTGCTGAGTATACATCCAGAAAATAATTTGTGTTTCAGGGACTGGGGTTCTCTGTCAGTTTTCTCTTTTGAAAGCTTACACTGAATGCTCTGAAATTGCAAGAGCAATCTCAGCAGCTGGTGTGTGAGCTCCATGCTCTGGTTTCATCCATTCACCCACCAACCCCATACAGTGACAGCTCACTGTCCAAGAGCCAAATACTATTTCTTCTGGTATATATATCCCAACAAATGCAGGGAGCTGGTGCTCTGCAAGCTCAGGAACCCTGGAAGTGTATGTGTATTTGGTTTTTGTGGTATGTACCAGCCAGGAACTCAAAATAGAGAGCAGGAAATGTAGCAGGTCGGCAGCGGAAAGACCATGTCTGTCTGTGAAGACAAACTGTTCCAGTGCTTGTGTGGCATCTGAGGACATGTTTCAATGAAGAGAATGAGCTACTAGAAGGGCGTGGGGGGGAAATCACATTGACATTTCATGAAAGGAGCTTGAAAAACACCTGCTTGAGAGAGTCAGTGACTCAGGCCAAGATTGAAGTACTTCAGAATCAGCACAAGAAACGAGAGGGTGTGTGTGACCCTGACAGACACTGTTAATCAAAGAAGGAATTCTCTTATGTGGAGGTGCAGGTGGTGCCTGTTGATGACCAACAGGTAATATTCCTTTCATGATGGTTTTTTTTTGCCCTTACATAGTTTGCATACTTAAAAATACAAAATCAAGTGATAAAAATAACTCAGCCCTAAAGTGATCCAAAATTCCATAAATTAGGCCAGCCACAAATATGTTTGCTGTTTATATTAAGGATGTATGATGAAAATTTATGTGGATATATGGATAGAATTTTTGTGCCTGTCTCACATAACATACCAATGTTTAACTTGAAATACTACTTACTTGCTATTCTTACATTCATGTAATTTTTTTAAATTTGGAAAGTGAAGCCTTTATAAACAATCCTTCTCTGCAAGTTTTTTTTGATAGCTAATTAGGTCTGTGAAGTTGGAACTTGACGGGACCTATTTATTAGGTACTTGCACATGTAAGTGGGAAAGAAAAAGCAGATGAAGCAATGATTATTTTCTTAAGAGACACCGCAAAATTACAAGGATTTTTTAAGAGAGACAATAGTTGCTGTGTTTTGGATACTACTTAGAAACCTTTCGGTGCACAGTTTTGAAAATTTCTCCAGCCTCTCAGAAAACTGTACTTATTTTATCCTTTAGGAAAAAGAAAAATAATATGTTTTCATATATAATATTTTCACATTCTAGGTAGCAAACTAAACAAATAATTTTCATGTTTTCATTTATGGGATAATGAGAAAGAAGAAGAACATAGACAAATATAAACACATCTGAGAACTCTAGTGAGATACTGTACAAAGGATGTTAATACCTTTTCATATTCCCATGTCTCACTGTTGCCTGAGCAACCAGGGAAAGCATTCCTAATCCTCTGCATTTTCCTGTATCATGGGTCAGCAGAGTGTTGGCTGGAAACGTGATTATGGCTATTTTTCTTTTTGCAACTAAGAGAAACAAGACATGAAGGATTGAATGAAGACCACAATAGCCAGTACTAATTTGTTTTTCCCCCAAACAGATGTACACTTGCTGCACCTTATCATAGAATCATTCAGGTCGGAAAAGACCAGTAAGGTCATTAAGTCCAGCTGTACACTGTGAAAATGCTGGAGTTTCCAGGTGAATGTGTTTTACAGAATGTTTCACCTGATTTCTCTCTACAAGGCCATTTTCTGAGCAGGAGTTTATACAGCTTTTAGTATGATATTCAGCTGGTGCTGGTTCACAGCTGATTCAGTCAGCTTTTTGGCTGACTGATAACTCCTTTTTTGCTGGATTGCACTCCATTAAATAATACTGAAGGGTTAGTATATTATATCTTCAATGCTCATTGAATTTCTGTTAAATGAAAGTCAGTTAACTTTTTTTAGCTAAGCTTGGCTGGAAAAATAAAAATTCTCCTACCATAAACCATGTCTTGAGAACACTTCAACTGAAAAAAAAATGTCTTAAAACTGTAGGATGTTGAGGGAAAAAAAAATAACACCACTGAGGAGATAGTGCTGGGTGCTTGTGTCACCTTTCTGATGTTAGTGAGGCTGAGAGGGTTATATATACTCCACACAAAACAAGGGTCTTAGGAAGTGCAGTTGAGCACTTGCAAATCCAGCTGAAAAAAATGGCAGCTGAGGATTGTCACTTTTGACATATCAGGCTTTTAACTTTTAATTCATAGGGGTCCTTTTTAGCAATAGTGCAGAACAACCAGCCAAAGAGGGATACAAACACTACTCAGTTTTGAGGGTTAATGAATCAACAAAGAAAAAAATATCAGTTCTCAATTCTAAATGATAGTTCTCTTCCCTTTTTGTTTAAATAAAGATGCAGAAAATAATAGTATGAATGAAGGTGCCCAAGTCTGTTTTTGGTGTCTTAGCTCCTGCTTTCATTTGAAGCAACATCACTGGTTTTGTGCTAGTACCCTTTAAAAACTGGGAGAGCAAAGAAATTGAATTAACTTGCCTCTGGGAGTTGAGAGAAGTTCAGAATGTTTTTTTCCAAATAACACATTAGTTCCACAGCTTTGATATAAAACTAAACGATGGATAACTTGTTTTGATGTTGTAACACATGGCCCCCAGTCATCGGAGATGTCTGGACATCTCTGTGCATGAGTCATCCCACTGAACTTAATAGGGAACCTAATGTGATTATAATAAGCTAACTCTAGTGCAAATCTAAGAGTATAATGTTTCAAAACAGGGATCAAAATGAAAGTTTGCAAAAGCTCGTCA